GTCCTTCTGTGTTGATCCCCCCGTGGAGCCCATGTCCATCACGCCTTGGTCATGTTTTCATCCCCTGTCAGCACCATGTCCATCCCGTGTTGATCCTTGTCCATCCCATGCCCATCCTGTGTCCGTCTCATTTTGGCCTGTCTCCATCCCAGGTTGATCCCGTGTTGGTCCTGTGTCTGCCCTGTGTGCGTCGTGTGTTGTTCTGTGTCCATCCCGTGCCTGTCCTCTGCCCATCTCATCTCCAGCCCATGTTGACCCATGTCCAAACCCTCCCCAGCCCGTCTGTCCCATTTTCAGACTGTGTCCGTCCCGTGTCCATCCCACACTGACCCGTGTCCATCCTGTGTCATCAGCAAACACCTCGCCCCGTCCCCCACAAGGGGACCCTGCCATCTGCATGTCCCACCTCCCACCCACCCCCCCGCCCCATTTAACCATGGGCATTAATTCCCCCTCATTAAAGACTGCACATGGTTAATGAATTGGGCACAACTAGTGACCCCTCCCCCCACGGGGCCCTTTTCTTTGGTGGGGGCGGTTGTGAGGTGCTGCCCCACACGGATGGGGAGGGGCGAGGGCCTGGGGGGTCAGATGTGTCTGGGGCTGGGGTGGGGATGTGGGGCTGTTTAAAACGCAGCCAACCATTACAACCCTCCTAGGTCGCCCAGTACCTCTCTGTGGACGTAACTAAATGCTCCTGATAGATTCGGCATTCTAACAACCGCTGACATTTTTCCGGGGTAGCAAAGCCTCTTCCAAGGAGAATCAGCCCCCAGAGACTGTCAGAATCTGGCAGAGACACGCCAATGATCAGTTCTTCAGAAAATAAGAGCCGAGACTAGGCAGTGGAAGGGACGGCAGAAGAATGTGCGGGAGGGTAACCAGAAGAACTGCCAGGGAAGCACTAAGGGACCAGCAGAATATTCGACAGAGGAGAGTGAGAAGTCATTTGGCAAGAAAATAAAAATCTGGAATGAAGATTTGGTTTGGGCCACACTCT